CCCCCACCCCCCACGCATTTCCTCCTTGCGACGTGGCTCGCATCAGACCATCTTTGAAATAAATTAAACGTGTCGTATACTTTTTATCATATCTTCGGATCTACTTGGCCTAACAACACGACTTAAAAACTGGTTTAAAGTTCGTAATCTCTACTTTTCACTCGAGAGTCAGAGAGGGCGGATCGTTACAGGTAGAGTTTTTTTTCCTAAACTTTATTTAGGTCAGCCAGCATTGACAACACTCTGCGGGTGATGCAAACGACTCCGCGACATGGCAAGGGATGAGTAAATAGCGCGACACTGAATCAGTAAAGAAATTCGTTGCCAACGCTTTTAATAATCGATTTGTATCCATTGTATCGATTCATTGTTGCAGCCCTAACTGAAATGTGAATATTTGCAACCATTCAGCTGTGCAGCTGTGTTTTGAACAGTCAACTTGTAACAATCATGGCATCATTGTGTTTGCATGGCTTACAACTGTATTTTTGATCTTGCACAATCGTTCAGTGTCCACCACAGCTTCTTTTTTCCCACCTTGGCAGCAGGCCCACGTTTTATTTTCCTAGAGTACACTTTAGAAGTGAATTAAACCAACTACTTCTTGGCGACTGTGGCAGAGTGGTTCGGGGAGTCATCCTGGAACCGGTAGGTTTCAGGTTCGATCCCCCGTCTAGCTGTCTCAGTTGTTGTGTCCTTTGGCAAGACACTTCCCCCCAATGCCTCTGATGTGTGTCCCATCAGTGGATGAATGTGATTGGCACTGATTAGTCTCCACAGATGATTGTACATGTTGGCTTTGTAGAGACCTAATAGAGTGCTGTGTGAATGGATAAATGAGCGGTTTGAGTGTCCTGGTTGGATAGAGAGGTGCTGTATAAGTACACTCCATTTCCCATTGTTCACAGTGGTGTTGAGTGAACTGATGGCAGCGTTGTTGACTGAACTGGAGGTGCAGATATGACAGGGTTATACAATCTGTAGTGGTCCTCTTCACAGTCTCTGTGTGTGCTTATCATTGGCAGAATGAATGGAAATCTGTACATAGTTCTCAGGCTGGACCAGGCCCTTAAATAGAAAGCACCTGAACAACATTTAAGGACAATGTTTGATTGAAAACTTGCAAATACAGAGGGTTGTTCCAATCAATATTTTTGTCTCCCCCAAATCGTCCTAGGTCATTTAAGATTATGTATTTGCCTATAAAAAGTTGTAAATATGTTTTTGGCCCCTTGTAATAGTTTAATTTATGAATGTGACCCTTTTGGGAAAACTAAGTACTTTTAAATGTCAAATCAAATTTCCAAGTAACATTTGAAATGCAAAAGTTGTAAGCGGCTACTAAACCAGTCTTGTTTTAATTTAAAAATACCTTCATTTTGTACATGTTGGCACATTATATCACGTCTTACAGCAGCTCTTTTACTGTGTAGCTGACATGAAATCTGTCCAACTGTCTAAAGTAAATGAGTAAAACTGTTCACAAAGTATAAAATGTAAGGCTGTATCTAAAATCCAGTTTATCAGTCACAAAATTTATTTCACTGTGTTGTTATATTGGTAAACTATGTCTAAAGTAAGTTTAACTAAGTGTTATAGTCTGGAGTAACTTTATTTCTTAACAATCTTAGCACAGATGTTTTCACAGATGACAGAAACTGTTTTTTGTGCAGCCCCACGTTGAATGGCTGTTGGCTCCATCACAGCTACACTCAAAGGTTTGAACAATTAGTTTAGTTTATGATGAAATTCTGCAGGTCTGAATATTTTTATTGGTTTGTTTTTTCTCCTCCCAACAAGGAAATACCAATCATGTACCGTATAGGAAACTCCGAACCCTCATTCAGGATATTTTTATTATCTGTCATGACCCTTTGAACCTTCGGATAGTATTATTTCTGTAGATGTGTACACTCTTAATGTGTGGTTGTTAGTTTCTACAGATTGTAACAGTGTTGATCCACACAGGCCAGCATCATGTGTACCTCCAGCTGTAAATGTGTTGGCTGTTGGAACTGTGAGGACAACTCAATGATGGAAGCCAAAAAGATGACAGGACAGGTGAATGAAAGGTGAGTTTGTCACAAAGCAGTAATTATAGTCAAACTGATCTTCACAGCTTTGATTGTTGTGGAGGATTGAAATTAGACTTTTATACTGTAAGGAAAAACAATCTGTGGATGAAACTGTCCCAGATGTATCAGTGTAACAGTAAATTAGTTGTCTGTCTTGTCCTGGATATGTCTTCATCTGTCTTATGCTGCGTTCACACCGAACGCGATTTCAGCTTCAAAATTGCATCCAACGCTTCAAGTTGGACGCTTGTGCACTTTGAGGTCAGACGCAGGACAGCTCTTGAAGCGCTCGCACAGCAAGAGCCTCCCCGCCCCTCCCTCCTCTGTCGGGCTCTGTTTAATGT